AGATATCTATGAGATATTGTAGGGAAAAGATACCTATCTAGAATTTAGGAGTTATCTATAACTACCTTGTGTAACCGAATTCCAGCTGTCGATGAGTCATCTCCAGTTGTCTTCTAGGTAGTATGTTCAACCAGAAGTCTTTACATTTCTTCTTTACTTGGATATCTCCGATTGAAATCTTGTTGAATCTGCTAAATGCTAATAACCAGAGGGGTGATGGAGATGCATTGTTCATCACACTTATGGACCATTCATCCCATCTCTGGTTTGCCTTAAGCACTTAGGTCTTTTCCAGCTCTTCTTCCATCGGTCCTCGGTGCTTTCATACTTGTACATTTTTCATTACTTTTACAGTAAGAATTATGGGATCTAACAGCTGGGTATACTGGTGTAAGGGAGGTATAATCAATATACGGAAATGATGATTTTTTATTATGGGTTATGGTTATCGCATTAGAGTGATGCGATGAGTGGGTTATATCGTATCAGTATGATGCGATAAATTGAGAATATCGCATCTATTGGATGCGACATATTGGATTTATCGCATGTGTGTAATGCGACAAGTTAATGTTATCGCATCCTTGAGATGCGAGGATTGAGTTATCGCATCTAAATGATGCGACAAATTAATATAATACAAGTATGATGCGACAAAAGGTGTAATCTCCTCCATGAGATGCGACAAGTTGATATGTTATATCTTTGATTCGATAAAATTGATACATGGGTTTAATACGATGAAAATAGATTGTCTCATTCATTGGATGCCACAAAAAGAGGTTTGTTTTGGATAAAACATTGTTTATTTGTTATTTATACAAATATGAGCTTTCTATAAGTGTTTTGGTAATTTCATCCTGTAATAGGAAAAAAAATGATTTCTCACTAAACCTTATGGTCTAAACCTCATTTGGGATTTAAAATATGCATTACAGGGTGGACACAATTGGAGGATAAGGAAAAAGGGAAAATGTGAAGGATGTTATGATTAACTTTACATATGTGGATTTTTGAAAGTTGTATTGTTACATGTACTTGATGCAAATGACAACTCTCTAGCTACTTTTATAATGAAGAACTTTGTATATTTGGGACCATTGGGTAATTATTTAAATTTCATGTTATATATGAAATATGTGGTTTATATGAAAATTGAGAAATTGGTGCATTACAACACATGTGAAATATGCAGTATTAATACAATGATGTTTTTAATATGAAAAATTTAGGATTGTATTGTGTGTGAAAAAAAATGAAAATATGTTTGATATATGATACATAAAAAATATACCCATACAAGAAAAAAAAAACATGTAAAACCATATGAATTATAACTTAAAAGAAAAATAACTGAATGAGTTATATTAGTTATTTTCACTATTTTGGAGTATTAGCAGAGTTTAACGCTTGTCTTGTACTTGAACGTTTTTATCACTTGGTTTTATGTAGTTCAAATATGAAACTTTAGAATGTGGTATTTATGCGGTAAGAAGTTGTAAAAAAAGTTATAATCTTATGTATTTATATACCTAATATCTAATCAATTTATTTTGAAGAAATTTTACCAAATACTTTATAATTATACTAGAAGTCTACTTGCACAATACAATGATATATATTTTGATTTTAATATTTTTATTTATTATTTGTCTTTGTTGATTTTGTAATATGGTTTTAAGAAAACGATAATGCTTTTATATTTGAATAAAATATATTTTTGAAGACCCCATAAATTTTTATCGAAATTAACAATTTAAAAGAACTCGTTTTTTTATAATTCTTTTAGTTCAAATTTTTATTATAATTTAATTTAGGTTTAATAAAACATAATTTAATTTAAGTTTAATAATGAAATAATTTATTTTTGGTTTAATAATATAACATTTTATAAAGATAATAATTATTTATTTTGTTGGAATTCAATAATTATTTTAATTATATTTTAGATTCTTTATATTTAAAATGATATGTTTATCATTTATTTGATTATATTTATCACAATTAGTTATATGAATTCAAATATATAGCTTTAAAATGTTGTACTTATGCATCATTTACTTATAAACTTGAATTTTAAGTAATGTGTATCAATAAACAACACTTAATACATTAAAAATGGTTTTTAATATAGTATAGATATAGATACATGGTCAAATAAATACATACAATTTAAAATAAGAGATAGATATAATATAGGAGAATGTTGTGGTCCAACACTATGAATTCCAATGAACAAGCCATAATATCATCATTTATAGACATTTTATCTAAAAGTGTTACAATGAGTTTGTAAAATGTTTTTAGACGTTATAACAGGTTTTTTAGGATGCTTTTAAAATAAAGTATCATATTATCTATTTTTTATAGGACAATTTAAGAAATGTGCTATAAACCCATCATTTTATATGACTCATTTTCAAATAACTAAAACATTTTTATTTCAATAGCGTTCTAAAAATTTTGTTAAAATATCAAAAAACGTCTTATAAACTTATTATAAAACTTTTATATAAGATGTCTTATTATTTAGTCCTATAATTTTTTTCCCATAAAATATGTTATTAAAACATTTAGACATTTTAAACATCTTATAAACCTAATTTTCTCATATTGCATGCTACATCAAAGATTTTTTTTTTTATTAACCTGGATATCCAACCCGCTATGCGAGCCAACTAATCCCAGGGCAACCACCTATTTTGCAGATAGCCCGGAGTCACCGCATTTAAACCTCCGTGGCCACAAGGGGATTTTTATTCCTCCTTGGATTTGAACCTGGAACCTCAAGGTAAGATTAATTGTTATAAGCTTACAAAGTGGCGAACTCTATTAATGATAAATTAAATTATTTTGGTAGAATTCGTAAAATATCTGATTTCAAGGGTTATAAATAAAAAAATGAAATAAAACTAACAAAACTACAAATATTGGCAAAAAGCTGAATTGAAACCCTAAATGTAGGAGTTATAGAATCTTCAATGAATTTTTCAAAATAAGAAAATGAATATTTTAAGAATTGTGAATTTAAAACCTTAATTTGACTCAGAAGATACCAGAACAGTGTCAAATTCTTCAAATTCGATGAACTCTTCAAAACCGATTATCATAAGAAATTTGTAAAATATTTTACTGATATAATCAATGTTATAATCTCTAAATATGAAGAAATGTCGAAGTAGAACACAACTGATTTATAAATCTTAAATTTTCATTTTAGATTTTAGTAATCTAGTGAGGATACTCTTTTGAATCCAACGATCAGGTCAAACCATCATTACTCATTTAAAATAAATGTTTTAGTTTGCTATTGGATCTAGTTTCTCGAGGTATTATCATGACCTGATTGTACATCTAGAATTTCATCTGAGTTAAAAAGCAAAAAGGAACCCTTGTTCTCCCCAGCCATTTCGGATTAAGAAGATGTCAATGCGTCTTTATCTCTATAAGAACGATGCATTTCGTGGTGTGAAGTGGAAGAGAAGCGATGTCATAATTGGGGTTTTGAATAAGACGACCTTTTTTATTTTGCATTTTTTTATATCGAAAAAAGTATCAAGAACGGGATGGGTGAAGTTTTTTATCATCCTAGCGTCGATCTATTTTTCCACGGGACCTCCCCTATAGTATCTTCACCGTATTAGAGTTTCACCACCAAGTTCGGTATGAATTGATGTGGTTCTTCTACACCTAAGACACGAGAACATCGATAAAAGAAGAAGTTAATAATTAATGATTATTTACTTATAATTGATATTTTTTTCTCGAGCATTGATAAGTTTTTTTTGTCAAGGCTATTTTTGTGTAAAAACCATAAAACCAGCCTGGAAAAGCTCATAATAAAATATATTAAGACCAAAAATATCACATATTATAATGTTTTGGTTTAAATATTGTGGTTTAGGACTTTAGGTACAAGTATGTCGGTGAATAAGTCTTTCGTACAATACTTTTCTTATTATTTATAAGAGTGAATTTTATTGGTCGTCTAGTTTGCTCAAAATTTGAATTTGACTTATAATAAATTATTTACATTAATAATCTCTAACCTTTTAATTTATTGTGATTCACGTTCTTTTAAACAATTTATTTATTAAAAAATATTTATATATTCAATCACAAACTAATTTTTTTTAAATTAAAAATAGAAATTAAAAAAAATTATATTTATTTAAAAAACTATTGACAAGATTACTTTTGCATTATAGAATCTCAAGTTTAGAAAAACAAAGAGAATAAAAAAAATCACATATTTTTTTAGTTGGACATTGAAATATGCAAGTAAAGTTTTGAATTTTAAGTATGATTAACATGAGATTATTAATATATAGTTAAACTACAAAAAAATTAAATAATAACAAAATAAATATTAAAAAATATTAGCATTTTGGACATATACAACTGTTAAAAATGTTAAAAAAAACATTAGTTATTCAAACGATTGACTTTTTCCTTTTTATTTCACCGGGCTCAAGTTATTACGTCTTTAATAATAATTTGGGTATGATATCAATTTAATTGTTGTAACTTATAAAGTAGCTAATAACCTTGATTTAATAATGTTTAGAAAATTTATTAAAATGTCTAAAAACATTCGATAGTATTCTAATACTTTTAGATGTAACATTTTATAGTTTGGTCCTATAAACTTAAGCGTTATAATCATAACACTTAGAGATTTTAAGCACACTACTAAATCAAAAAGAAATTCGACAAACATATAAAACCGATTTTATTATAGTATTTTATTTTATTCATTTCAAATTAAAAATATTAATTTAGTAGGATAATATTGAATCATTTAATATTTGAACCAATCGATTTTCACACTACAATTTAGTCAATGTAGTTGGTGGTATAATTTTCTACGTAACTTTTATTTGTTATTATTTTAAGTGCAAAAGTTGAAATATTTAGCTATAAAAAGGATGAAGAGGGCTTGCACAAAATCATAAATCAGATCCTAACTGCTCTGAGTAGAAATGGGAACCAAAGGGCACACAATGGCCACYCTTCTCATCACCCTTGCGGTGGTTATCGTTTCTTTAAGCTTGCCGTCATTGACCACCGCTGACTACCCCCATTCACCTCCACCACCTAAGAAATCCCCACCACCACCACCTCCTCCTCATTATGTTTACAAATCACCACCACCACCTCCTCCGGTTTACAAGTCACCCCCACCACCCGTTTACAAATCACCCCCACCACCTCCACCGGTTTATAAGTCACCACCACCTCCTACACCAGTTCACAAGTCTCCACCACCACCAAAGAAACCCTATGTATATAAGTCACCACCACCCCCAACCCCGGTGCACAAGTCACCGCCACCACCAAATAAACCTTATGTATACAAGTCACCACCACCCCCAACCCCGGTGCACAAGTCACCGCCACCACCAAAGAAACCTTATGTATACAAGTCACCACCACCCCCAACCCCGGTCCACAAGTCACCACCACCACCAACCCCGATCCACAAGTCACCACCACCACCAAAGAAACCTTATGTATACAAGTCTCCACCACCATCATCCCCGGTTTACAAGTCCCCACCACCACCAACCCCCGTCCACAAGTCACCACCACCACCAAAGAAACCTTATGTATACAAGTCCCCCCCACCACCTACGCCTGTGTACAAGTCTCCACCTCCACCAGCACCAGTTCACAAGTCTCCACCACCTCCTTCACCTAAGAAACCTTACGTACACAAGTCCCCGCCACCGCCGGTGAAGAAGTCGCCACCCACACATTATTTCTACAGTTCACCACCTCCTCCTCACTATTAAGTAAGACGTCTAAGGTAACTAATTTGATGCATGAAACCATATATATTCAACTTCATGCACATTTCTTTTATTAAAAATAATTTACTCATATTTTGTTTGCAGGATTAAATAAACAAGAAGTTGACTGAATGAGAGGCTATTTCAGATGTACGGAAATTGATTGTACTTTATTTGTATTTTAATAAATATTTCCTTTTTCTTCATTTTTCTGTCCGTATATGATCATATAATAATTATTATGTATTTCACGTCTTATAAAAATGGATGAAATTATAAAACAACGTGTCTTAACTTTTTATAACAAAAAAATAATTATTTTAATATTTTTTGAAATGTTAGCGAAATAGATTGTGATTTATAAATATTCTTAATACCATTATATTAATAGTTGTTGGATGAAAACCCTGAAAATTGAGAGAAAAGAAGAGTGTAAAAAAAACCGCGATAAAATTTGAGATCGTGTGAGAGCTTGTTCTCCTTAAATGATATTTCAACTTTATTTTGCCCGGGTATCACGAAATTCACTCGAGGATAATGTCAAATTCTCGTTATCGATTTTGGAAGAAATCATTCATATTTAAACACAGGAGAATCGTAATCGATCCTGCAATAATACTATTAGTAGTTTCCCATTAAATGAGATTGATTGCAAGACATAATTAGTGGCAGTTACAAAAAATTACATCAGTTACAAAACTGATAAAAAGCACACGGTCCGTGCCATTTACAAGTGTAAAAAAGCATGGCATGTGCTAAACAATCGAAAAGCACATAGACAATTGGCACACTGTTTGTGCCATTTTCAAGAGGAAAAACACACGACCCTTGCTCAATCTTCTGTCGTTGAACGCATGAACCCTGCCATTTTCAAGAAGAAAAACACACGGTTTATGCTCAGCATTCTGTTTCAAGCATGGTCCTTGCTCTTTTTATGAACAGAAAGCCACGGCCCGTCCATTGCCTTATGCCACTTAGTAACTCGCCATAACCGTCCAACAATCCCGGGTTCTAGTTAGCTTACACGAGTGTGCAATCTACACCTCCTATCTCGTGTTATAGCTTAAAACTAGTCCCACTAGTACTTGGAACTATGTCATTTGGTCTAGGTATTGAAAAGAATCTAGTCTCATCAAACAATGCATCTCTTGATTCTATAATGGTGTGAATCGCTATAGAATCATTGGGTTCAATTATAATAGAACCTATACGCCTTATAATGCTTGGCGTAACAAAAAAAAAATGTATTCAATACATTTCTCTCCCAACGTTTTTCTTTTGAAACTACTCGACAGCCCCAAACTTGAATGTAATTCCAGTTTGGTCATTTCTTGAACCAAAGTTCATATGAGGCATTCTTATTCTTTTTATTGTGAACTGGATTTAATAAATAACAAGTTGTTAACATGCTCCATCCCAAAATCCATCACTTAATCTTGAGTATGATAACCAAGAATTCACCATTTCATTGAGAACTCTATTTTTCCATTCTTATCACACCATTTTGTTGTGGTGTATAAGGTGTCGTAGTCTCATGAATGATTCCTAAGAATTAGAAAAACATGGGGTCATAATACTCCCACCACCAGCGGTGCATAAACATTTTATAAAACAATTCATTTGCAATTCAACCTACGTTTTTTTTTTTAATTTATCAATTGCTTCATCTTTGGTATGTAACATATATACATAACAAAATAGTGAAGCATCTTCAATAAAACTAACAACATACTTTTTATTATCCAAAGACGGAGTTGAACGCGAATCATAAAGATCACTATGTATTAAGTCAAGCACCGAAGAGTCCCTTTTCACATAGGAAAAGGTTGCTTAATGATCTTTGTTAACATGCAAGTTTTATATTTTTGGGTGTTAATATCAAAGGCCGGAAGTCGTTTTTTTGACATTTCAACCATTCTTTTACAATTAACATGGCAAATCTTGCATGCCATAAACTTGAATCAACAAAATTTGAACTTGAAACAAAAACATAATTTGAAACAACACTATTATTATCATTATTTACGTTTAACATGAATATACCATTTATCAAATAACCAAATCCAACAAACAAGTGATTCTTCGACAAGTCAAACTTGTCGGACTAAAAACTTGCCTATATCTTAACTTATTCAAGAGACTACCTAACCCAAATTCTTTCAAATTTTCGGTACGTACAAAACAATAAAAGGTTCAATATAATTTCCATAACTAAATTCTAGTCTAATTACGCCATGTTCAAGAATGGGATCGCTTAACTCGTTTCCCATGTTAATCAAGGATCCGTCTTCAACATGTTCCAACGAAGTGAACCAACATCAATCCTTGCACACATGCCTTGTCGCACCCGAGCCGATCCATCAAGCAACATCATCATCCTTGTTGGGTTTGAGTAAGAGCGTTAAAGTTGTATTCAAGTTTCTCCTTAGTGTAGTTTTATATTGTAATAGAGTAGCTTTACTATTTCCTAGTATAAATAGTATTTTCCTTGTAATTGTCATTACCAAGTGATTAGCAGAATTGTAATCAAGATTAGAGCTGTAATTTTCTCTCTATCAATCAAATCAATCTTTGATGATATTCTCTCTACTTTTCTATTCATCTTAATTCTTGAAGATCTTATCATTCTTATCATGTTTGTATGATTTCTGGACTTCACAATGAGATTATAAATAAAAGAATACCTAACATCAATTTCTTTCGAGTTTTTGGATGTAGATGCTTCATTTTAAATGAYAAAGAGGACAGAGGGAAGTTCGCTGCTAAAGCTGATGAAGCAGTTTTTGTTGGATACTCGAAGACATCCGCTGCCTACAGGTCTACAACACAAGGACCAAAATCATCAATGAAAGCATGAATGTATCATTTGATGAAGTAATTGATGTGGCTTCTGAACAAGTCAGTTCAGGACCCGGTCTTATAATTAACACTACGCGGAAAGCTGATCAACCTGGGTCTTCTAACTCTGATAAAACTGATTTAGATTTCTTATTTGAACACTTTTATGAAGAATATTTTGATAATAAGCCKAATMWGTCTATTRTTTTGATCAGGGAAAATTTAACTGAACAACAGTTATCGGGTCCATCTCCTGATGTGCCCGTAACTGAAACAGAAGAGGTAGCAGAAGAAGTCGATGAAAATATAGAAATGGAGAATCTGATCAATCCCGTTCAATGTGAAGAGGGTGAAACTTCTGAAATGCAAGAGGTGTTGGTTGAACCAGTTGACAATAATCCACCTCAATCAGATATTCAACCTATCCTAGTTCCAAATATTGAACCTTCACCTGAACCTGTTCCTATAAACTCCCCAAGTTCTTATRTTGATCAAAATTCAGATCAAAGTTCTTATACTCCCTTACCTCATAGCAAGAAGTGGACCCGAGATCATCCAATACATCAAGTAATTGGTGATCCATCAGCACTTATTCGTACACGGTCCGCGACTGCTAATGAGTGTYTGTATTCCACATTCTTGAGTAAAATTGAGCCGACTAAGGTTTCTGAAGCCTTAGCAGATCCGTATTGGATATTAGCAATGCAAGAAGAGCTGAAYCAGTTCRAAGCACTCAAAGTCTGGAGATTGGTACCTCGTCCTGATAATAAGACGATTATTGGTACTAAATGGGT